TATATATCTTTCACATATATGCTTCCTAAGCGCAAAGATAATTTTAAAAGTTGAAATTTAACATCTATTGTATAAATTTCTTTCTTCAAAATTTAGCTCAATTGGAAAGATGAACTTATATTCTTAATAAAAATCAATTGAATTTAGTTTTGTTTTAATTTTTTTATTTTAAATTAAGTAAATAAAAGAGAGAGAGTTACCCCATAAAATCAATTTTAAGATTAACAGTATATATAAGTTGAAGGAAATGAGGGGGAGGGGCTAAGTAAATAAATGAAAAGAAAAAATTAAAGTAAAGAATTTCCTTTCTTTCTCCTCCCATCCCCTTCAATTATTTTGATAACCAAAATAGAGAAAAAAAAAATTTCCCTTTATTCCCCTCAACCTAATCTATGACATTCTTAGACGAATTCCACATTGACAAAGCACAAGAGATGTTAGGTATATTAGTAAATACCTGTTATTTCCTATTAATGCGTTTTAACTTTTAAAATCATAAAATTTGAGGAGTCAAAATGGACAATATCAATAGTGAGTTAAGTTATGACAAATGATATCAAAATCACTCTGCATGTCCTCTTGAACGGTGGTGGGGTAAATCTTAACACCTTTAAACAAATCCCACACAGACAAAGCACGAGATAAAGCACGAGATAGATATTGGTTATATAAATGGCAAAATATACAAATCTACCCCCAAAGTATAATAGCAGGGATGGATCCATCCCGAACAAAAAATGAGAATAAATCTACCTACAAAATTTTTGACTTGGACAAATCATTCCAAATTTAATGTGTAACGTCATCTAACATCAACAATCCATTAATTTGTATATCACTAATAACGGATTGCTAACGTTAAATTAATGGATTATTGATATAAGATGATTTCACACGTTAAATTTGAGGTGATTTGTTCAAATCGAAAACTTTATGGATGGATTTGTTCCCCTTTTTTGTTTGAAGGTGAATCTGTTCTTACTGCTATACTTTGATTGTGGATTTGGGTATTCTGTTTATATAAATCAACACTCAATACCTTTTATTGACATATTTTAAAACCATGAGATTTGAGACGTTGAAGTGGACAATATCAATAACAAGTCAGGTTGTTACACAAACATACTGTAAGACTTATTTTAGTACTACCTCATGTTGTTTTTTACTTTAAATTTATCTCAAATTAATTTTTATATTTTTATTTTTTAAAGTAGATAAATATTTTTCCCTACTTTAAACATTTTCATTGTCTAATCATTTTGATTAACTACCCTATTATAAAAAGCTTTACTTTGTCTTTTGACTTTTTCTTAGAGGTAATATATGTAAATGTATAAATGATCTCAAATTTTTAATTAAAAAAAGGTTAAAAAATGACAATTATTATAAGATAGTGAGAATATAATTTTGGTTTTAATCTTTTAGTTTTTATTTTTTT